CATAACCAAGATACTTGACTGATACAAATTTTATTTTTCATGCTAAAATTTTTACAAATTTTATTGTCATACACAATTACAAGAGTAACAGTTACAAGTGAATTAAAAAAATAGCATTTTGGGGCACTTCTATTCATTTTACTATCATAAGCATGTTTTATTACATGAATAGCAACAATAGTTACAATTACAGAACTGCTCAACTTGGAAATTTAATAAGTGTGTTATGATAGAGGCTAATACATAATATAAACAAAGTGTAAGTGCCCAAACATAGTTTCACATTCTATATTATTCTTTATTCCACAGTTAGAATCATGGGTTAGAATCTACCCAGTAATGCCATCATTCAAATATCTGACCAAGTCAGTCAAGTCAGCAATCATTTCAAACCATTTTCCAAAATCTTACTTAATTTAGTTCTACAAAGAAATATAAGACAAAACACAGAAGGCATGACTTGCTGATATTTTATGCCTGAAACAAACCACTACATAATGAAAGTATGCATCTTTTGCAACTTGGCATTTGTTCCATCTCACACAATTAAAAGATGAATAGTACTTATAGCACTTAGAATCACCCAACTACAGCTGATACAGTATCTCCCAGACTTCTAGTTTCTAAAATTCTGGGGGAAGTGGGACAATTTGAACTGTAACAGTCTACATGGTAGTAATATTACCTCTTGGCCATTGGCCCAATACTAATCCTTTTTGTTTTTTAGTATACAAAATATGCTGAAAACATTTCTCTTAAACACATTTCAATTAATGTAATTAAACAGAAGGCAACAACTTCCTTCTAGAAGAGTTAGATTTAGCTATGAAAAACTTACCATATATTTGTTACACTAACTTATGGAATATTTTTAAGGTCAATACAGACAACACTGTATTTTTTAATTTAGAGCCTGTGCCAAACACACGTAAAAAGAACTATAAACGTGATCACATTAGTAGTTAAAAAAAAATGGAAATTACCATTTTTATCCTTATAGTAACTTTATAAATATATCATTTGCTTTTATCCAAATTAAGGATAAATTTCAAAAATCCACTGTGAAATTTACACTCCAAGCACAAAAATACACTAATATTAGTTCTAATCAGAAATTTCAGCTGACAAGTGAAAATTTTTACTTTGAAATAAGTAGATCTGGGATATGGAAGTGAAATTTTTGATTGAAGCACATTGCAAATATATTTTGTTTTCATGTAAAAATAAATTTTTTAAGTAAATAATGTTTAACAGTCTTTTTACCTTACCTTCTCAAACATATATTTTTCCTTAAAATAAAAGTTTAAAATAAACACCTCATTTCAAATCTGATTTTACAAAAAAGAGAGAGAAATAAAATTAATTATTCTTAGATGTATTTGAGCCAAGTAGTTGCTGCTTCCAGATGTTATGTGCTAAAATCATGACATTATGGTAAGTAACCTTTGGCTTACAACCTAATAACTTGAAATTGAATTCATACCGCTTATCAAAGAAGACTGGTAACTATTTGTAAATTTAAAATTTTATATCTTTTATAAAGAAAAAAAATCCTGTCTAACAGACAGTATGAATATTTTAAAAATCAAGGATAAAACATTTTTATTATATCAAAGATCTAGAAAATAATAAAATATCCCAATAGTATTTTTGTAAATACTATCAAAAACCTCAGTCTTATATATTATATGCAACAACCAATATATTTTTACAAATTAAACATTTCAAAGGCTGGAAAGAAAATATGCTAATTGTTAAGAGCAATGATGCTTGAGTCAAATACATCTGTTTTGAATCTCAAATCGGCCACTTTCAAGCTTACGCATGTTTTTTAACTTCTCTAAAACTCAGTTTCCTCAGATATAAAATGGGGGGGCAATGATAATATCTACCTTAGAGGGCTCTTCTGAGGAATAATAAGATAATGCACATGATTAGTATAGTATCTGACCCGTTAAGTAACCAATAAATATTAGCTATTACTGAGCAGTGACTTACTTTGGGGTCAAGTACCTAACAAATTATTTTCTTAAATAAGATATAATAATTATATAAAGAATTGTTTAAGAACTTTAATAAAACAAACAAAATGGCATAGGAGAGAGTTGGGGACACGCTCTCCAGTGAAACATCTAGAATTATATTATAATAACGATAAGGTTAAGAATCACAAAGGATTCAGTACGCTACATCTGAAGTCTCCTAAGTTACTTTTATTATGTTTTGTCACTTTCTATCTATTTTAACATTGCTCTGTGTCATTTCCAAACTATAATTCAGGAGATCTGAAGCGAATTTTGTTTTCTTGTCATGAATTTTTAGAAAAAATAATTACTTCATTGGCCTAAACAAACAAAAAAGGCATAGAAAAACTGCACACAAATAAAACCAGTCATTTACATGTTATGTACTACAGTAAAGATGGTCATTTAATGATTTCAACCAATATATCTGGTATCTAATATTTTCATACTGTTCTTATTTCAAACCTCAAACACATTAATCTCTATTATTTATAAATAGTCTACTCCGACAACATATTAGTCATATCCTTATTGGAATGATCAAGGAGTACTAAATTTTAACAGAAAAATTAAGCAAAAATTATGCCCCAAAATATTTTACAAGTGCTCATTTCCCATTTAAAATATTTCAGGTACCAACTTAAAGGTACCCACATCTTAGTCCATCAGTATTATTTTGATTGTCACTATTAACTATGTGAACGTTTTCTCTAATTTTTAATCATACTAACCTGAGTCAACAAGGTTTTCCAATGGATATTTTAAATGACAGAGCACAGATATGGGAGACCGAAAAACTAGGTCTGGCTCCAATTAAATTATCTACTAAATACGTGATCTTCAGCAAGTCCCTCAACTACTTCATGCCTCTCCTTCCTGCTCCATAAGATGGGGATCCTACCACCCTCCTTGTCTGACTCACAGGATTATGGGAAATCATGTAAGAAAACATACGAAAGAGCTCTGAAAAGAGCACAGCGCTACATACATGTTACCAACATGTATGTAGAGGCTTGTTAGACACAGAGGCTTGTTAGAGTATTGGATATGGTTAGAATGACCAGTCTAAAAAAAGGGGATTTTAAGAGAAAGTTATTCTTGAAAGTATCAGAAAAAAATATGTAACATCTCTACCATGTCCTTTGGATAACGTCTGAGAGCAGTTTTAAAAAATGTATCAATATCCATCCTATTACCATGTAAGAAACTACATTGGACAAGGACCTAAGAAAAGTTAAAGCCTCATTCATTCTTTCCATATTTTTTTTAATGGCTATAATTCTGCTTCACTTGAATGTGCTTTTGTAGTGTTATTCATTTATAGCCTGCTTTGTTCTAGGCTTATTCTGGCAGTTATTTAACCCTCTCTGAAAAGTAGTCATAAGTGATCTTTATTTCTCTACTACTGGTTTTTTATTTATTTTAAATTCTACTTTTTTCAAACTCCCTGGGATGCAAGTGTAATAAAGAGTTTTAATTTAAAGAATGAAGAAAAAATATTCAATACTAAGTCACTAAGGCAAATGTTCTCTCACTTGCTTGCCTCTTCAGCAGATACTATGCATGTACTCTACAAAGGATATTAGAACCGCAAATCAACGGAAAAATCCATTTAATTTACACTATATAATTTTCCAAGGTTAAAAGATACAAAGTAAGAAAACAAATCAGGATTGACTTTTGAAGAAGGCATATCTGAAGGATGATTTTGAAGAACAGAATGGTGATTTTGAAGTAAATGGGAAATGAGGACAAAGCGAGAACAAAACAGAATATGACAAAAAATGTTTAACATTTTTTGATTTTATACATAGAGTCACTGAAATACTATTATCTCTAGGTCACCAGCTAAATGAGAAACTAGATAGGTGACTGGTCAGGTATGTAGAAACAGATTTGGAAGCCCTAATACAGGCTGATGGTTGAAGTCACAGGAGTAGAAATTTTGAGGCAAAAGAAGGTTTAGATAATACTCATTAAAAGATGTCAAAAGATAGAGAATGAGAGAAAATGAAATAAGAATGATTTGAAAAACACAAATAGAATTAATATTAGAGAAGTGTGCAGTTTCAAGGAGAATGGGTCAAAAAACAGCAGAAGAAAAAAATTAAAATAAAGATTGGGTTTGACTAGAAAGTCCATAATAAATGTAAAGGGGTGATTTTAGTGTAATAGTAAGGATGGATGAGCTAGCAACAGATCAAGTTCTGGAAGACTAAGTAATTAAAAAAACAAAGTTGGTGCATTCCACCCATTTAAAATGTTCACTCAGGAAAACTTGGAGAAAACGATATAAAAATGATATGAAATAAAAAGGAAAGAAATGATATGAAAGCTAGCAGGAGACCTGAGTGTTTTTAAAGGCAGAAAGGAGGGCTTCATTAGTTCTAAATAATTAAACCTTATGTTTTATAGCTGAGAAAGTCAGACTGATAAACAGGTATTAAGTTAGGCACTTTGCGGGGGGTGGGGGGGGGGACGGACCTGATTTCTGTCACTAGTGAACAGGAAAAAATTAATCTCAAGCCACTTACTTTTTTGGTATCATAGTCAGCCCCTATGCTCAGTGGTATATATTTAAAAGGTACTTAGAACTTAAGTGAAAAGACAAAAACCCCAAATGGAAAATGGGATTGAAAACATAAAACACCCAAGTGAATAAGTCAATAATTTACACTTGAAAATGATTTTAAATCAAATCCAAACCAAAAGCAGGAAACTTTAAAAATGTAACTGCTAGAGGCATGATATAAATGTGATGTGCAAAGTAATTAAATTTTTAAAAGCATAATATAGGTTTTATTTCAATATAGCCACTATCATTTAATGACAGGATTTCTTGAATAATTTCTACCAAAGAAAAAATTTCCTCCTCTAAAACATTCATAAAATTGACAACTTGGGTACCTAATAGCTGTGAAAAGTAAGTGTCTTCACAATTCCACAATTCTTTAGTATGAAAAGCAACATTAAAAAAAAGTGGAGCTTCACAATATTTTATTTCAAATCTACTTTATACCTGATCCAATATGTAATTGGAACCATATTCACATTCTATAGGTCTCTGAATTTCATTTTCCTGTTTTATTTATTTTATGAGCAACTTACTTTATTTTGAATCTGTACCACTTTATTTGACATTTATTAAAGCTACAATATAACAGCCATGCATAATTTATTTACAATATTGTACATTAAATGACTATGTTTAAAGATTACAAAAAAATTTTCACAAAATTATAACTAACGAAAGACGTGAAACATTATTTAGGGGCTTTTAAAAATTAGGTACAGAATTTTGCAAAGATTATTTTGGTTTATAAGTGTTACAGAAGGACTGGCTTGAAATAAGACTGATAAAATCATGCAAATGAGTAGAATTTCAATAAATGAAAAACTAAAATGTTTAGCTAAAAGCTAAAATATCATAATAGTTCAAATACTACCGTGTAGCAATGAGAATTTATAAAACAGGGAAAAAAGGTTATTCTTTAAAAGTCTTCCATGAATAACAGGTGCTCAGTAATATTCTATAAAAACATTCAGAAACAAAGTTTCTCAAATTATGCTCATCACCAAAGTTATGTTTTCAGTAGTGATTGGAGCTGTGAATTTTAAATAATTATTTATTGTTATTATAAGGGAAGTCTCAGTTTTCCCCTTTGAGGACAGGTGGTTGGGAAGAAAATCAATCAGTAACTTTAGATTCAAGTAAAAGATCCTGGTACAAATCTCATAAACACAGAGTGGAGAGTTGCAATAACCTGCAAGTCCACATACTTTTAGCTGTACTCTTAAAACAGTGTAAACTTGAGGTTTGTTCAATTTAAGATTTATCAGGAAGTAAGTACCTCATCCTTCAGAGTTTGGAAAATAGCAACAGACATTTCTTCTTCCCCAGCTGCACGTCTTTCCATTTTTATTGTTGTGGCTGAAGTACATTTAGATATTCAGACTGCCCCAAGTGATAAGTTGTGTTCCTTCCACAATCGACATACTGGTACCTCTCCTGGGATATCTGTTCAGAGTGTCCAAAGTATGTTGTTGTCACAGTAACTCTAAAAATAAAACAAATGGCAAGAAACACTGAATAGCTATATATAAAAAAGTGTTCTAAAGTGAGAACACTTTTATACATCAAAATTCTCTTTAGAGAGACATTATCTGATTAATGATAACTTAATATTGTGGACATGAGCCTCTTGGAGAATATTTCCCCACCAGACAACAGAAATGCTGGCTGAGCAAGCCCTATACAAATAATCATATACAACAAATGTAATTTTTTCAAAACACCTACCTTTAGTTGAAAATTCTCTCATCCTAGGAAAAGGGTTAATCAAATGCCAGCTAATGGCTCAAATACCAAACCTGTAACCTACAATGTTTTAATGGTTTAGGATTAGCACCCAATGTAAATTACTTCTCCTTATTACTGTTAACATTCTGTTAACATTAACTGTTTCCACACGCAGGAAGGAATCGGATGTTGAGCTCAGTTCTCCTTTCTATTACAACTCCTGCCATTTTCCTGAGTTCTTTCAAGGTCTAGATTCACTATCTAGCAGCCATGTGACCCTTCACTCCTTCTCTGAGCTCCCATTTCCTCATTTGTAGGGTGGTATAGTCTTTACTTGACCTCACAGCATTCTTGTAAGGCTTAAAACCCAATTGAGATGGCATTTGTAAAAATGCTCTGTATGCTCTAAACCAATGTTTTAAATCTAAAGTTTGAACAAAGAAATATCTCTTTCAAAAAAAATTCATACTTACTGCATCATGAGTACTATGTTATGCACTTTGATGGATATCAGTGTACAGAAATCACTGTTAAAGAAAAAACAACACGAATAAATGCAAACTATGACATAACAAATTTAAAATAATTTAGTTACGATTCCTCTTCCTATGTTAAAGCTAACAGAGATACTATTAAGAAGATAAAATAACTAAGCATTTGTTGGTTGAATACTTTTTATATCTCCAATAATGATTAATATTTTCATGGCTTCTTATTCTAAAAACATAATGCTTTCCTACTACCACAGTTGTAGAGTTGTTTTAACGTGGGCTACAGATTACTACTTTTTGTTCATCTTTTGAAATTTTAGTAACCAGTTTGTTACTCAGCAATTCTATATCAGGCTGATATCAAAGGTGATGAAAATTTATCATTATTTTTTACCTAACAAGAGTGAATAATCATTTAGACCCAATTTAAAAGCTTCAGAACCAAATAATAGAGTATTATACATTATTAGCATTTTTAGTCCTTCTATACTAAAACATCAACAACTACTAGAATATATGAGAATATGATTCTCATAAGTAAATAAAAAGTGACATGGTGTATATGATCCTAATTTCGAAAAATAAGAAAAAATTCCGAAAAATAAGAAACAAATTTTATGTGTATAGGTGTACACAAATGTTATGTCTTTTGACTACTAAGATTATGGGAAATTAAAAAAAAATATATATATATACTTTATTCTTCATACCTTATAATTTAATGAGAGAAAATTACTAAAAATCAGAACTTACAACATATAACTCATTTCCTCTGCTATGATAGTAGGTACTGTGTAATCAATCTGAAAGGCAAAAAATGAAAATAAACCAATAGAAAATAGGATCAAAACTTCAAGTATTTCCTGTACATTTCATAACTGCAAAAACTTTAAAAATCTCTCCCTTTAGGAGTTTGATTCTAAGACTTTCTCTTGTACATACATGGGATACATTTCAAAGTCAAGTTTTTGAGGAAATCCCCCACCTCCTTCAAGTTAATATGATATACAAAGTTGAGACTCATTTAACTGCTCCAAATTTCATGACCAAAGCTTACCTGTTTCATATCCAGTGGACGAATACTGGTTATGTTGTTTAAGCGTGCCTTTCCAATAACTGTTTTTGAAAACTGGACTTGTGCAGTGATGTTTTCAACTTCAACAGAATAATAGTTATTGTTCGTTATATTTAGTGTGTTCTGCAAAAAAAAGGAAGCAGAAAATGTGCAAGTTATCTGAAAATAAGCATAACAAATATGTATTCAAAACCAATCAAGAAAATGACTTCAGCTGTGGCCACGCTTCATTTGTTAGGAGGAAGAGTATCACCAAAATGTCAAAGAACATTAAGTGAACTGATTATTTAGTTTTATGCACGAGTATTATGTATATAATATGCCTAAAATAAACACACAATTAAGAAAAAATAGGCCCAGAAAATGTATAGTACAGCAATATAGAAAAATGAATGTTAGAAAATATATCTGTGGCCTTAGCAAAAATTCAATGAAAATTAGGAGCGATATCTACAAGGTATTAACAAGTATGCAACAAAATGCATAAAAGAATGTACAAAATATTAGATTTTGAAAATAAATAAATAATGATTTAAGAAAAACTGAACATGTGGGTTTATCTGTAAGTTAATGTGAACATGGAGAAAGATATGGCAAGGTGCAATATGGGAAAGGAGAGAAAACAGTCTTAGTAAAAAAGAATAAAACAAAGAATGCGTTAGTGATCAGCAACTATATGATCACATTTATACATTCATTTAAATTATTATAGTTATAAATGTAGAGAAATTTTTAAAAATTCCATAGAATTTTAGTAGAAATAACCTTTATCTAAACATATAAACATTTTCATCTACTTAGCTCTTAATACTCATTAAGTTTCATTTCTAGGCACTATAAGAAAGGGACTGTTAAGTTGAGGTCAAGGGACCTTCTGATGCAGACCAGGGAATGGGATTCAGGAGAATCTTGGAATCTTTTGTACATGCAAAATAATGTTGGTACGTGTCTTTTTTTCTGAAGCGTCCATAACTTTCATTAGAATATTAGAGGCATCAATGATGCAAAACAGGCTGAGAAAATACTTATGAGAATTAGGAAAAGATATAAGTGGGAGTTAGAAAGAAAATACAAAGATACACACCATGAAAGACAAGAAAAAATAAGATAGGACAAAAAAGTTTAGTATTAAAGATCAGACATTTTACTGTTGAGAGCAGTGAGAATCCATTTAATTTATAAGTCAACGGATGACAATCATAAGCTTTTAAACAATGATGATTTATTATCAAAGGCCTTAAACTATCTATGATCTTTAATTGGCAAATTTACTTTCTGGGATTTATCCTAAAGATATAACCTGAAATGGCAACAAAGTTTAAGCATAAAGATGATTTCTGAATAAATATTTGTAATAGCAAAACTAAACATCTATTAAGAAAATGGTTGAGGGCCGGCCCCGTGGCTTGGTGGTTGGGTGTGTGTGCTCCGCTGCCGGCGGCCCGGGGTTCGGATCCCGGGTGCGCACCGACGCGCCGCTCCTCCGGCCATGCTGGGGCTGCGTCCCACATGCAGCAATTAGAAGGATGTGCAGCTATAACAGACAACTATCTACTGGGGCTTTGGGGAAAAAATAAATAAATAAAATCTTTAAAAAAAAAAAAAAAAAAGAAAATGGTTGAGTACACTGTAATACAGCCATGTAAAAGACTACATGTGACTACTTAATATGGGAAAATGTAATGAGATCTCAAGATAAAATGTGCGTGTGTGTACACTTGCACACGTGTGTATCCTTTATGTACATTTGAAAAAGTTGGATTACATTTGTAAATGTATATATATGTATGTAAATGTATATACATATGTATGCAAATGTATATATGCATTGTTAGCAAATGTATGTATATGTTAATAGGTCTAGGTCGTAGAAGTAAAAATTTTTATACATTACAGTATTTTTCAAATGTCTCATAATGATAACTAAATATTTTCCTAAGTAGAAGGACAATAAATGTTACTAAAAAAGAGTTAAGTAGTACTAATATATTTTACTCATTTTAAAAAACAAAAGCAACATTATATAATTCCATTTTTCAAAATACTGATGGAGAACCTACAGAAATCTCAGCCTCTTGCCTGTCATCTAGTTAAACCCAATGTTCATCTATATAATAATCCTATTTCTTATTTAATGTTCAGTCTTTTTCAATTTAGTTAAGTGCTAGTATCCCAAAATGTGGGAATTCCTGAATAATTATTTAAAAATATGATATTTACCTTTAAATACACTTTCTGGTATTTAAAAGGGAACAGCACATGGCTTTTATTATCTTTTATCATAAATTTACAGTATTCAATACTAAAACAGGCTCTGGAGGTTGGCCAAAAAAATCTGGCCATTGTTTTAAATACTGTACAAAAAAGGAAAATATGTTCTTTGTTCTAAATGGTTGTTAAAGTAAGGAAATACCCAACAATTCCCTAGTCACAAGAAATGATTTACAATTAGCATTGTGTTATGTCTCACGCACATAATATTTTTTCCATAGATATGTTTTTTTCTAAAAGGCCTGAGATTGACAACTTTTGACAGTAAACAATGAAAATAAATGGCTCCATGGGAGTTTTTTCCTATAATTTAGCAGTAATTCCACTTTAATATACCATTTTCTTTCACTTCCTGTCCTTCCAAATCTCCCTCCTCCCAACCACCACCAGAGGCATCTTTATTTCAACTTCAACCATACCAGCCACTTCTGAAAGGAAAACCAACTGAAGTCCAATATCACTCTTCCAAATGAATCACTGCCACACAGATACACCGTAAGGCCTGAAGCCATAAATGATTGCTAATGGCATGATCCATATATATTTTTTTTCTTTTTCAATAATACAGTGGTTTGCAAACCATGCTTTTTTCTAACAAATGTTAACATGTAAAACATGTAGAAGACTCTCTCTGAGGTTCTGTTTGCTTGTTTATTTTTTGTTTTCAGGAGAGGGGAGGCTATAGAGTCCTAAAAACCACTGTCCTGGGAAACATAGAGGACATTTTACACATACTAATTTACAAGAGAAATCAGTCACTTGTACTTTATCTTTACACAAAATAAAGGAATGATCTGTTAAAGATGGCAAAAACTACACTTCACAAAATACAAACAAATGAAAATGTTACATTTATAACATCAAATCAACAATGTTAACACCTTCCTAGGAATTATTCAGAGTCAAATGTTGAAAAGTAAACAGACTGTATATACTTTTTTTGCCAGCAATTAATTGTTTGGTTTATTGTACCCTCCTAAAGGCAGGTGCTTAACCTCCTAAAGGTGCTGCTTAACATTATAAGGGAATGAAGTAAAATATTTTTAATATAAATTTTTACTTACCGTGATATTTAAATATATTGTACGCTTTTGAACATCATAACTGACGTATGCTGATTTTACGCCAATGTATTTCACGTCGATAGAGCGAGGAAACAGGAAAAACACAGCCAATCCAGAAAGAAGCAGACAGACAAACACAGAAGCCATCACATAAAGCTTTCTGAAAAGGAAAATGGAGTATTTAAGTATATGTGCATCAAAAATTTAGAGAGAACATTTTCAACTTGAATTTTTCCCCTATCATATCAGTAGGAAAAAACGTATTTTACCAACTTTTTACATTATAAAGTATTGAGTAGGGTTGGGTCTGAGTCTATTAAATGTTAAAATGTTCTTAAAAGATGTATTTACCTTTCTGAACACTGGTATTTCAGGCTTATTATAGGTAGAACATTACTGCAGTGATTCCCAAACCAGGCTGCACATTAGAATTAAGCTGAGGAGCTTTATAAAAATATAGATTTCAAGACTCCCTTCTGAATTCACTGAAGCAGAATTTTCACGAGTTTTGCCATCATATGATTCTCTAAAGTAACTACTCATTAGAACCACCTGTGAAGCCCTTAAAAAAATGACATTAACCACATGCCTCATCAATCTCACTGACTGAGACAGTCCTTTTTGAGTCTTCTCATCCCAAGCTATTTATGTACTCTCTTCTAAAAATATTGTTTATATTAATCAACTCTCTTTTGAAGATGCTGTTAAACTGTCTTTAAAATCAAGAAAGGGGATAATATTATGCAAGTATAAGACAAGAAAAAAATAAACTTTCCATGTCTTTGCTATTAATTCTTAATTCTTTACCACATTTTCACTGTTAACAAATTATTCCAGTGGCTAAACCATCAGTCATCTGCTCATTAAGTGAAATAAAATATGTAAAATGTCCTGTACAATGTCTGCCACATAAAGGGGTTCATTAAATATTCTTACCTCCTTTAATTTTTATCTTTCAAAATAAGGATATTAAGAATTCAATCAACTCCTTTATATATGTATAATACTAGAGAATTTGGCATTAGAATCAAGGACCAAAAGCTGCCTTATGTAGCTGGCTTATCTTTTGAGCAGAGAATTGGATGGAGATTACAAATTGGGGAAGTACTAAAATGTTTTACAAGAGCATTTGATAAAAAGGTCACTCCCTATTCTGCCCCAGTCCAGGGCACTGCCCATATAATCGTGGAGTGTGTGTGTGTGTTTGCTTCAGACTATGAGTTTGAATCATTCTTTGTTTTTTATTAAAGTCACAGTTGCTTAACGACAGGGATACATTCTGAGAAATGTATCGCTAGGCAATTTAGTCACGTGAACATTATAGAGTATATTTACACAAACCTAGATATTATAGCCTAGGCCATATGGTACTAATCTTATGTGACCACTGTCAAATATGTGTCCATCACAGACCGAAACGTCATAGCTTTTTTTTTCTCAAATTGTGAAGCTCTTTACAGAGTAAGGATATTGGCCTCTGTTTGTGATAATAATTTGCAGACATCACTTCCCAGTTTGCCATTTGTATTTTGACTTCAATTAAGGTTTTGTTTTCATATCGTAAACACTAATCTATACTTTGTCCAATTTATAGAAATCTTTCTTTCTTCAAAATCAATGGATTCTGAATCACAGTTAGAAACCTTTTTCCACTCTCAGGTTATAATGGAATTAGCCCTAATTTAGGGGTCAAATAGACTGACTGTTTTTCAAGTCCCTTTCCATGAGGCTTAGATACGCTGCTCTCCTGCTTACTTGTTTGAAGCATTGTGGTCAACAAGTAGCACGCCAATCTGATTTTCTCTTATAAATTAATTGATCCTTTTGCATGTGTGTTCAAAGGAGTTTTTCTGGATTTTGTTTTTTTTTTTTTTTAACCTTCGAAGTCCAGTAATTTCACCAGGATGGGTTGACTGTTTTCAGAATTATGGTATGACTTTTTAATACGTAGGTTCACGACTTGTTTTACTTCAGGGAAGTGTTCTTGAATTAAATGTTTAGTATTTATTCAGTTTGATTCCTTCGATTTTCTTCAGGGACTCCAATTACATGTATATTCAATCTTCTTTGCCTCTGTTCTATACCATTTTCTCTCAAATTCTTTTCATTAATTTATGCTGTTCTGTCATAGCTTCTACACTTTTAATTTCTTTTAGAAAATTTTACATTAAGTTAAAGTTGTCATCTGCTTTTCTGATAAGCTTTTATCATCTGTCAGCATTTTGCTCAGTTCACTTTCTTTTTATTATTATTTTATACTATTTTTTTATGATGTTTGATTGCAACCTCTTTTTATTGCTCATATTTAAAGGAGATGAGTTTTTGTACTTTCAAGAGAAGGTTCCATTATAGGTGATAAGGAGAGGTCAGGGTTGCTTTCCTAGCTTCACTCAAGGACTCCATCCTCTGTTGTTATACAAAATATTTAAAAAGACAGCCTCTGTGTATATCCACTTCCATAGTTCTGAGACACTTTCTCTAGTTTCTGAACCTTTTTCCTCCTTTATTCTTATTCTTGCCCTGCACAAACTGGATTTTACCTCCAGCATGTTTTACCTTAGGATGTGCCTGCCTTTTATAAGTTTTCACTGAGTTTCCCAAAGGTCTTTGAGGGATTAGGATGGCCCAGTTCCTTCTGATCTTCTCAAGCCCCTTAGTGTGGCCTTTTTTGCACTCTCTCCAAGCTAGAGCATGCAGAATCCTCCCATTTTAACAGGTTATTCTCAGAGGTATTTGCTGGAAGTTCTCTGAGTGGGGTCCTCTTCTTTTGGGTAAAGTATTTGCTTTGGGTATCAGGGGTCTTGGGACTCCTAGGAACTCTCTTTGCTTCCCCTCACAATTTCCACACAGCTGCTATGCATGTTTGGGTCCTTTCTGTCATCATGGTTTGAAATACTCATTTTTGTTCTGGGGCTACTGGGAATACCTTAACATCCTTTTTTTTTTTTTTTTTTTTGTGAGGAAGATCAGCCCTGAGCTAACATCCATGCCAATCTTCCTTCTTTTGCTGGGGAAGACTGGCCCTGGGCTGACATCCGTGCCTATCTTCCTCCACTTTATATGGGACATCACCACAGTATGGCCTGACAAGTGGTGCCTCGGTGTGCACCCAGGATCCAAACCCAGGCCGCCAGCAGCGGAGTGCGTGCACTTAACCACTATGCCTCGGGGCTGGCCCCTTAACATCCATTTTTTAATGAAAATGTTTTCTCTGTGTGTGTTTCCTACTGCTATTCTAGGTTTGTCTGTTTTAATAAATAGATTTGAGAAGATTCAAATGCTATGTTGCTTTCAGGACCTTACCCCAACCAGGAATCTCTTTTTTTTTTGATGACACAAAGTATATGAGAGCATAACAATGACCTGATAGCATTTTTCCTTTTACTAGTGTTAACTAGAGTAATTATTACACACAATTTGAAAAGTAAAAAATACAAAAAGACGAAAAACAAACAAAAATGCCACTTTCTTATAACCCACTTACGTTCTTCTTGGCCTTAATCTCTGATCACTATACGGAATCAACGCCACCAGTTGGTTTTCTTGCCCTAAAAGTGAAAGAAGTAGGTTTAAAAATTTATTAACATGAAATTAAAAATATAGTGGCTCCTCATTAAAGTCTGGTTTGGAAAGACCAGAATACCTTCTGGCTTTCACACCTCATTCCTTTAATAAATTGCTCTCAAAGTCTTCAAAAATTATCCAGTAGAAGTTGAGTTCCAAAGCAGATATTGTCTTTTTTTCATACCTATATGTCTAGCTAATCAAAATAGTATCAAGAATGAGGAATAGGATGTCTTTCTTTCACTGAAAAAAATCTAAAAAGTCTCAGCTTTCACAAGATTTGAATTTACCAGGCCTTCCTTTAACCCCATAGTTTTCCATTAAGACTCTGATTTGGTTATCTTGATAAGAGAAGAAACACATTGCTTCCTCTGTGTCCTGAAACCCCTATAACTACAGAGGTTTCTATACTATCCCCCTTGAAAACCAAAACTGACACATACCAAGTCTCGCACTTCAAGAGCCCCAGTGTAATGAGCCTTCCAGGACTTTTTCAGGCCACACCTCTCTCTACATAAGTGACTTCAAAATTCATCATTTATTTCTTTGGTTGAGCTTTATCATATATTTTAATAGATAAATGGATCTTTAAATGCCAATTTTCCAAGAACTTGGCTCTTTATATTAACTATTAGAGCACCATAGTCAAAGTCTCTTTTAAAGCTTTCCATAGCGCTTCCAATACTCCTCTGTGCCTTCTCCACAACTCTCCCCTCATTTACACTACCCCACCACAGACCCACATATGTATATATATATATACACACACACACACACATATATATATATAAAATGTATATATGTTTCTGTATGCGTATACATATCCCATCTTGTTTGGTGGTATTCATTTGGCTAAACTACAATCCTGGTTAAAACCAATCTTTTAGCTACTGTGCCTATATCCACAGAGCTAAATGTGGACAGAGAAAAATATACAACTATGCTCACTGATCTCATTTTAGATCACTAATCTCAAGTGGATCTTAATGATGCCAATAATCACACTAAATTTCCCTAGTTCACACTCTCGATCTGACTCTCCAAGACCACAGTTTCATAACTTCAACTCTCTCTTCAATCCTCCAATATGTTCTTCCCTCTACTTATCCTTAGTTCATGACGTGACAAATGGAAGACAACTTTCACAAGCTCCCACCACCACCTCCACCCACCTACCTACTTCTGTGTCCACATACTCTTCCTTCTCTCCTGTTACTAAGAGGACACTGCAGGCACTCCTCTGTAAGAGCAGCCCTCTGTAGTTGTGCACTAAATCTAATAATTCTCCCATCTCCTGCATTATCAATGTTTTATCTCTGGATTATTCCCATCAGCATACAAACATATTATTCACTACATCTTAAAAAAATTCCTCTCCTTTTCTATACAGCAAAACTCCTCAAAAATACTCTCTTCTCACTATATAACTTCTCTCCTCCTATGTTCTCTTGACTTCGCTCTATACAGAATATGCTATACATGCTTATTCTGCTCATTCTATATACATGGAGATGTTTAAAAGAGCAGGCTACCAAAGCTGCTCTTTTAAACATCTCCAGTGGCCTCTACATCACCAAATCCAATGGTCAGTTCTGTGAACAAAACTGGGACCCCTCTTCCTGGTCTAACAGGCAAATCTAGGAAGCAAGTTGCACAGGCTTAAAGTCAGTACAATAAAAATCCATGCTGTACTGTGAAGCAGCCATGCAGGCCTCATAAACCTGTGTCTAAATGACCTTGCAACCCCTTGTCTCATGACTGAAGATGCCAGCAGGATGACTCAGCAACAGGAAGAGATAATGGGCACCTCGCTCTCACATTTCTCAACTACATTTCTTAGAGATTGAGGGAAAAAGTGACAGCCCTGGTCCTTGCCTCCCTCCACACAAAGATAACACCAACATTCCAAGCCTTGTTTGACATATAACCAAAAGTTCTTGTTATCCTTGAAGTATATGACTATTAGACATGTAAGCTCTTTCCTACACATATACTGCTTTGTTAAAAGGTATACAAACTACAGTCAGACCTGCAGACCTCGGAGCTACTCTGGAATACTCAGAATACTCTCTTGGACTGTTTCCTGGGATTTGAATTCCTCACTTTGATTATCGAATAAACTCCTTTAATTAACCTTTACCCAGACTCTTTATTTCAGTCAACAGTTCTCAGGCCTCACGTTACTTGATCTACCAGTAGCATCCAACATCGTTGATCACTCTTTCCTCATTGGTACACTTTCTACATTTATCTTCCAGGACACCATAGATACAGGGATTTCCTCCTTCTACTCTAGGTGCTCTTTTTCAGTGTCTTTGCGAATTCTTTCTCATGTCACTGATCTCAAAACGTTGCAATGCCCCAGCGTTCAGTGCTCGAGTCTCTTCTTTCTTCTATTCACACTGACAAAGCTGGTGCTCTCATCCAACTCAGCTTTAAGTATCATCTATATATTGACAACTCCAGCCTAGGCCCTGCACTTGAATCCCAGGCCCTTACTATAACTAACTGCTTACTGAACATAGCCATTTAGATGTCAAAAATGCATCTCCAAAGGTACGTATCTAAATTTGAGTTCCTGATCTTTCCCCTGACAAACACACTCAAACCTTCTTTTCTTTATCCTAGTAAATGGCTACTCCATTCTTCCAGTTGCTCAGACAAAAATACCTTTAGAGTTATCCTTGATATCCTACTAGCCAGAATTCACTTCTAGGCTGCCAAAAAAGCCTATTGGCCATACCTCAAAAATACATCCAGGTTGCTAAAATGGTACACCCTTCTACCCCTCCTTAGCCTGGTGCATTAATACCTTCTAATACAATAATCCTTTTATTCTCAAACAGCTACTATCCCTGCAAAGATAAAGCTACCAACTCAAATATAAACTTCCTCAACCCACAGCACCTCTCAGAGACTCTGGTATACTTTATACGGTCACTTTGTCCTTTCCTCAAGGTCTCTCCAGGGTCATATATCAACTTCAACCAAGTAGAAAATAAGAGTAGCACAAGGTACTTTTATTATTTCTATTGTTGCCGCTACTACTAAAGCAGCCTATGAACAGCACATGGGCATTATTCCCTTCTGACTTCCCCTATGATACACCACAAACTGGTTTTTTTTTTTCCTATTTGGCTCATCTTTATATACCATCCCTCTTCATATAGTTCCTCTTAAAAATAACTAACTTGACACGACCAGCTTATTATTGTTCTTGAGATAATGAATTAAAAATATTAAGTCATCGAATTTCTCCTAATACCCAATACAGTAAAGCAACTGTGATATGATGTCTGTTGATGCCAAAAAGGACTAAAAGTTCTCAGTCAAGAGACACAGTGCATATCTGTTATAATAGCAGGTGGGAAAGAAAAAATACTGGAGGTAGAGGGGTGGCTTTCCCTACTGCTTTAGGAACCTTAATTAATATATTTGTTTGTTTCTTTGTGTCCTTCTGACTTAAGACAACTGATACAAAGTTTTAACTTTCATTCCTTAGAATAGTCTTTTAAAACATTGAGGGTTGTGCTTAGACTCAAGGGTTTTATAATATTTGTACAAATGCCTAGAATCATTCTTTAAAAGAAAAACAATACAATAACACATACCCCTAGGAATTCTTCCTGTTCCTTGACAAGTGGGGCAAGTAACACTATCTCTTCCTGTAAATTCCACATATGGAAACTGAGAGACATCTCCACTTCTTCCATCTTCATTATGGACTTCACTATTAACCAATCCATTCCTCATATTTTCAGTTGATGTGACTCCATCATAAGCCTCTTCTTTATTTGAATGTAAAGTCAAATGAGAAAAAGACTTCCCCATGTCTAAAGAAAAAGAAAATCTTACAGTAAACTTCAGGAAAAAAGTATAATCGAGAACATTATGGGATATTTATACCAATCTAATTAATTTAGAACAAACTTCAAGGGAATGTTCAAACTACTTTTTGGATTAGAATTATACTCAATCAAAGCAATATCTGAAACAAGGGAGCCATTTACTAGAGTCCAACAGTATTTTTCTAACAAAATATTATGAAATGATATCAGACTTGCAATGAGAACTGGATTTCAAACATTAAAATTTGACGAAAGTTTACACTTTCTTAGGTTTCTCTGAAAAGAAACATGCAGGCTTCACTTTTCTTAGAATAAAACAAAAACACATTCTACCTTTAAACCAGTTAGCACTGAAGGCAAAAGTTGCTTTGGGCAGATTACAGCTAGGTAGTAGATGTATTACCAGGTAAATTCAAAGTAGTGTTTTTCAGCCTTTTAAAATTCATGCCCCTTTGTGGTAAATAAAATCCACAATCTTTCTCATCCTCACATTTCTTGCTTTAAACATTTAAACACTTGCAACAAAAACAACCCAAAAACCAAATCCTGCAGATTTTTCTTTCATTCAACAGTTGGCCAAGTTAAAATTATGAAATTAATATTCCAAAATATTGAGTATAATTCACCAATACAAAGCAGCAAAATTTGGAGCATTTTAGAATGACAGCATCAAAACAACAAGGGGAAAAATAAATATAAATTTAAAGCCAAGTAAGAATAAGTAATTAGTACTTATTCCTACACAAAAATAACCTCCACAGGTAGGTAACGCAATAACATTGCAGGTAAGGTCATAGGATTTTAAGGATGCAAAGAACTTAAAAGTGATATAATCCAATCTGCTGATATTCTGAGGGAAAATTAAAGACGAAAAGCAGCATTTAAAAACAACATACTTATTCTTCTTCTAAATTTGACCATATATCTTTTATCAGTTCCTAAATATAGATTACTATAGACATTCATACAAAGAGATAAATATTTCTTTTAAAAATTCTCACTGATTTGAATAAGGAAAGCTAACACTCAAAACAATTCAATTTATCTCAAAGTATGAAGGAAAGCTTGCATTTTAAAATTGGCATGCCATCCACGTGTTGGGGTCACTCAAACACAGTATTAACAGCAGAATAAAAAAACTATACAACTAGTAGACAAACTTAGAATTGTAGAATGATGAATACAGATGCTTGTTTTCCCTATTAAAAAAATCTATGTACACATTGTCCATTAAGTTCAAAAACATAAATGATTTATGATATCTACAAATGCATTATCTTTTCTTGATGTGTCTCAAAGACACTGAATTTGAGCCAAATCAATACTCGCTAGTCACAGGTGGTTCAGGGGTGAATTAACATCACTGTCCCCACACTGTGACCTTGTGGCCCACGTGGAACACTAGATGAGCTGGGATCAGTGGGCCTCAGCAGCACCACCTCAGAGGCACCCTTTCTGGGATCTCAGTTAATACAACAGGAGTGTAAAGTGCACCCCACGAAATGCCTTAGGGGGGATAGACAGAAGGCAAAACCAAGTGGCTCTCAGTCTGGGCCTGTTTTCTATTATTATCTAACAGGTACTTTAATAGAGTCTGTCTCTGACAGGTGTTTGTTTCAGCAAGGCTATGAACAAGCGCCAGACTTCGTCAGGTACTGGGGATCCCTGCCTCCCCTATTGGATTTTCCTCAGAGCACTGATAAACTTAACCACTTTTATTCCTGGAGACTCGTTGGTTTATAAAGAGGTGCTAAGCCCCCTTCCCTTCCCTGTGCTCAATGTTTTTATTGCAATCTTTTAACTTACTGAACACCAATACCGACCTCAGACTCAGTATGGGGAGGAAAATAAAAGAAGTATAGCACTCCATTCAGTTTAAATGAGTCGTGATCTGTGAAATCGAAGGAAGTTAGCGCCTTTAACAAACTACATAAACAAAACCTAGCACACAGCCTCCTCTGGAAATGTTAAAGATAAGATCCAGGTAACCAAGCAAGAAAACTCAAGAACAGCAAAACAAGGGGCCACCTGGCCGCACAAGGTGTGGGGGCCTGGAATCAATCCCGTGCGCCGGGCCAAAGCCCAAGTCCGGAGGCCCCTGGCAGGAGACTGGGCCCCGGCGGGAGGAGGTGACACACTAACTGCAACACCCAGGCCTGAGCGCCTCCCCCGCTGCCCAGCGGACCCAGCTCCCCGGCGCCCGGCTCGGCTCTTCCCAGCGCGCCGCCGCTCGGGCCCGCTCCGGAAAGGGACTTGGGAGCTGCGCGTCCGAGGTCGCTCACCGGCACGCGGGGCGCTGCGCAGTCCCGAGCTGCTCCGGCGCGCAAAGGCCCGAGACAGGGTCACGGAATCCGCAGTCCCGGGTGCTGAGGCTGGAGCGACGGGCCTGCAGCGCCGGGCCGCCGCGGAGTCGGGACGGGGGAGGGGCGGTACGACGACAACATCAGCTGAGGCCCGGCGCTGCTGCAACCTGCGCCCGCGCCTGCGCAGAGCCCTCCCGCAGGAGGCGTGTGGTCCGGGAGCGTGCGAGACGCTTGCGTGTGCTTCCTCCAGCTTTATGCAGCCCGACGCGCAGCTGCGGTGATTGCGCGCTCTCGCGGGTTCGTTACCTTGGTCTTTCAAGACTCAAAGGTAAAAATTAGCCGCACTAGCCCTGAAAAATTTTAAGATAATAGTACCTCCCCCTTTTTTTCCTGTCAGGCCATTTCCTTTTGCAAAGGAGAAACACGTGCGCTCTCTGCCTCGGCCCTTAGCTGAGCAGCTTTCTAGTCCACGCTCGGCGAGTCATCCTTGACACTCGCGAGGCTAGGAGTGGGATAAACTGGTAGGTAGACACTCGTCTGGCAGCCGACAAGTCACATCTGTTTTGATTTAGAACCTCTTGCCCAGTAGGAGGAAACTATAAGCGGGCAGGAACCCTGTTTCTGTTTGTTTGGGTTGTGGTTTGGGTTGGTTTTGCTTTTGTTTTTGCACATGGTGTCTTTCCAGCTGACCCCTCTTAACTCGGTGGTTAGTTACAGGAGTGTGAGATCCCAGCTCAAATCCCATTGCTTCAGCTCGTTGCTGTGACTTGTGGCTACTCTCTCCAACGTCTCAAAGGCAACTTAAGTTATCTCTTTTAGAAAATGAGAGGAACGATACAGAGTTGTTTTGAGGGTTCAGTGAGATACAGGGAATAACTGTCAAGCATATACTAGACTCATTGCCTGCAGAGAGTTGAACGTTTAATGAGTGGTAGCTATTGTTATAATCATGGTCACAACGTACATAGTAACCAAGGAAGGAAGAGATAGTAGTTTGATTCTCTGTTCTGACAGGATCCGTGTGTTTGGCCAATGGAATATGAAGATATGTAAAAGTAAGAAATGCAAGCCAGAGCAATATGCCATTTAATATTTAAAATTATTGTATCCACGTGTGAGATAATGAGCCTTTTCACACAATGTTGGCTAAGATATCAGCTCTTATAAATTTTCTGGCAGGCCATTAGGCAGTATGTATCAAGAGTATTAAAAATTTAAATTTTCACCTCCTTAAGCCCAGAGATCCCACCCTTTGGAATTTATCCTAAACCTAACGCGAATTCTAAAAAGATTTCTGTACAAAGTGTGTTCATTTAACTTAAATGTCCAAAAATGGGACATTGATTAAATCATTTTCTAACTCCCTTTTTAAAGCCCATGTCTTCCAATGGGACATTGATTAAATTATTCCAACCCCTCTAATTAGCCCATGTCTTCCAAAGGTGGGGGAAAGGGGTGGTCATTCTCCACTAACATTGTTTGAAATTTCAAAATAAATAGCTTGGTTAAAACAAATCAGAATCATGGGAACCTCCCTCTCCCAAGGGGAAAATAGAGACATAAAACAATATTTTGTATACATTTTCAAAAGGTTCACAGATTTCCTTGAAGTCTGTCCATGAAGACCAGATTAAAAACCCTGGCTGTAAAATAGCTAAGGATTAATGTGGAAGGAAAATGGATTATAAAACCCAATTAGATAAAAATGGCTATATTTAGACCTCAGTCGTTACAACAATGGTGTTATATTTGCTAGCCATTATTTCTCCTAGTCTTCAAAAGTGGCTTTGGGAAAGAATAATTATGAGTTAGAGATACAGAGGCAGGATTCAGTTGTGGTATATCAATACAAGGTGAACCCACATTTCTTTTCAGAAAATCATAAACAAATTCATCCCCTTTTCATACTTTTTCTATTTCCTCTGTTAAAAAAAGTATTATCATTATTTAAATTGCAGTTTAACATTTAAAGGACTGAGTTTTAATTTTTATTTATGAAATGGGACATAGCTTGGACACCCTTGATTCTGGCTGTAGGGGTTCTTCAAAGTTGCCTCAATGGCCACCAAGGTGAGGAGCCATGGGAAAATGTTTAACTAGATTCAGTGTCTTATGGAATGCCATTTAAAAAATACCAATGCCCTAATCATATAAGTGATCTTCCAAATATAATACAGTAAATTTAAAGTAAAAGTGAATTAATAAAAATGAAATTAATGAAAATTTTAAAGTTTAAATGTTAAGGGAGCACCTATATAGAGAGAGCTCATCATTTCCATACCTAGTAACCCCAGCTCAAAAAAATGTTTTTAAAAATCTAGTTAGAGGGGCTGGCCCAGTGGTGTAGTGGTTAAGTTATTGTGCTCCTCTTTGGTGGCCTGGGGTTTGTGGGTTCGGATCTGGGGTGGACCTACACACTGTTCATCAAGCCATGCTGTGGAGGCGTCCCACATACAAAATAGAAGAAGATTGGCACAAATATTAGCTCAGGGACAATCTTCCTCAAGCAAAAAGAGGAGGATTGGCAACAGATGTTAGCTCAGGGCCAATCTTCCTCACCAAAAAAAAAAAAAAACTAATTAGAGCCTGTGATTAAATAAGTTTGTTCTTTCTCATAACATATTCAATTTGAGATAGGAATTTAAAGTAGATGAGACACTGAAAATATGAGTAGAGATTCCATATGTGTAGTTACCCAATGTGCCCCTCTAGTTCTCGAGTCTTCCACAGTCACCCTTTCCATTAATAGGCAAATAAAATAACCTGAACCCTCTTCTCCAAAAGACTGTAATCCCTAATTTTTCTAGAGATTTCTGAGAAGGAGGGCTTACAACTTTTTGCTGATAATTGACCATCATTATTTTATGTAGTCTGCACCTGGCTCGAGTCTCGATCGCTTTGTGCTGTCTTATCACTGCTTCTGGATGCTTTGCTCTCTCTACATCCCTTTGCCACATATTTAAACATGGTTCCTTTCCGTCATACTGCAAGTCACCGTGAACAGAAAGATGTGTGACAGATTATTACCAAAGATTTGTAGAATTAAAAAGTGGTTTAAGCACAAAAAAAGGAAACAACTTAAAACTGGATCTCAGACATTGATTTTTACTAACATTCAAAGTTCATTTTCTGCCAAGAGTCATATTGTAGTGATCACCGTTCCTTCTGAGCCCAGTCTGCCATCGCTTCCCCAGCGGCCCACTCTGACTCTCCAATAAGTTTCCCCAGAATGCTTTTCTATAAGTCCTGGGGTTCAGACTCCCCTTTGTCAAGCTGCTACAGATGAAAACGGAAAGTTCCTCTTATACATACCGTTTTGGCTCTATCTTTATCTCAGCTTCTCTTTTATAAGACTAGCCTAGAAACTTCTTTTTTATAACCAAAACACCCCCTGATGTTTGTTCCTAAACACAGCAATATCCTCCCAGCCCTTTTAGAATGCAGTGACATCTGCTATTAAAATTTTGGAATCCTGTCTTTTGTTCCTCTACTCAAAATAGAATAACTAGAACATAAAAGGACTAAGTATAAATATGGAAATTCTTCCTCTGAAATGCCAATTATCAGTTCAGGCATTGGATGCAAGTGTTTATTCTCTATACCAGTGTGGTCCAACAAAAATATAATTGAGTAACAAATGCAAGCCATATATGTAATTTTAAATTTTCTAGTAACCATGTTAGAAAAAGTAAAAAGACATGGGTGAAATTAATTTTGATAACCCAGTATGTCCAAGATGTTATTATTTCGACGTGTAATCAAGATAAAAAATTAAAGATATTTTACACTCTGTTTTCATATGAGGCCAAAAATTTGCACAATTTAATTCAGAGTAGCCACCTTTCTAGTGCTGAATAGCCACAAGTGGCTAGGATGTGTTCTTTTAGACAACACAGCACCATACAAGAACACAAAACACCAATAGAGTTCCTAGGATTTTTTGATTCCATATAGCTAAAAAGTTTTAGTTTAAAAGAATATCATTTACATCTCATCTTAATCCCTACTGAGATTTTTGTGCTAACTCCAAACTTTCCTTTAATTTTCATTATTCTTGTTTTCTCTTCCTAAACACTACTTTCTGAAGCTCTTCCCCCCTATGACTCCTAAATTATGACAGTTGGATACAGCCTCACCTATCAGCATTGTTATTTCTTGTATTTCTTAACATGGGAGTTTCTTGAGAATTTTATGAAGCACAGAAATACATGGGATGACCAGTTTAGTTTTGGATTTAAGACAGAGCAGTCACGTAGAAGCTAGCAGACCTATAAGAGGTGTGTCAGAATACATGTATTTAACATTCTAATTCCAACTTTTATTTATTTATCTTTTTTATAATTTTATTTATTTTTTCCCCCAAAGCCCCAGTAGATAGTTGTATATCATAGCTACACATCCTTCTAGTTGCTGTATGTGGGATGCGGCCTCAGCATGGCCAGAGAAGCGGTGCGTCGGTGCACGCCCGGGATCCCAACCCGGGCCGCCAGTAGTGGAGCATGCGCACTCAACCACTAAGCCACGGGGCCGGCCCATATTCCAACTTTTCAAAGTTCTTAAATATCACTGTGAAGATGTCCACTTCTGCTGATCTCCCAGATTAGTCTTCAGATTTCATACACTAGTAATTAATAATGATGGCCTTAAAAGAACAACAAATATTAGTGTATGGAAGTGGGCATTGGGCATCAGTATAGGACAATGTACGTTCAAGTCAGTGTTTTACTTTGAACAGAAGCAATGTATGTTTTCTGAGATGTTTTATCTCTAAAAAATCAATCTCAAAAACATTATCTCTTCATGTCGCTTAAAATGTAGTGAGGGAGACAGGGTAAATCAACAAAAACAATGAAATATGATAAGGTATGTGAATGACAGAAGTATGCATAGAAGAATGCTATCTAACTGGGACTAAAAGATTGATGAAGATGTGTAGGAAATTTTTTTTTTTAATTTCTTTGAAGTTTTATTGGGCTATAATTGGTATACATTAACTTTACATATTTAAAGTGTACAATTTGAGAAGTTTGAACATAAGAATATACTTGCAAAACCATAACCATAATCAAAATAATGAACATATTCACACCCAGAAAAAAAAGAGTGTAACCCCACTCTTGCTACTCCATCACTATTATACTTTCTGTCATTATAGATTAGCTTGCATCTTCT